TCCTCGCCAGCATCTAGAGTCCTCTGGTTTGCTCATTTTAGCCACTCTGACTGGCGTGAGGTGGTACCTCAGTGTGGTTTTGATTTCTATTTCCCTGATGAGGAGGGATGCTGAGCATCATTTCATGTGTCTGTTGGCCATCTGGATGTCCTCTTTGGAGAAGTGTCTGTTCATGTCTTCTGTCCATTTCTTCACTGGGTTGTTTGTTTTTTGGGTGTGGAGTTTGGTGAGTTCCTTATAGATTTTGGATATTAACCCTTTATCTGATATGTCATTTGCAACTATCTTTTCCCATTCCGTTGGTTGCCTTTTAGTTTTATGGATTGTTTCCTTTGCCGTGCAGAAGCTTTTAATCTTGATGAGGACCCAATGGTTCATTTTTGCTCTTGATTCCCTTGCTTTGGGGGATGTGTCAAATAAGAAATTGCTGCTGTTGAGGTCAAGAACGTTGTTTCCTGCTTTATCCTCTAAGGTTCTGATGGTTTCCTGTCTCACGTTCAGGTCCTTTATCCATTTTGAGTTTATTTCTGTGTATGGTGTGAGAAAATTATCTAGTTTCATTCTTCTGCATGTTGCTGTCCAGTTCTCCCAGCACCATCTGTTAAAGAGGCTGTCTTTTTTCCATTGGATACTCTTTCTTGCTTTGTCAAAGATTAGTTGCCCATATACTTTTGGGTCCAATTCTGAGTTCTCAATTCTATTCCATTGGTCTATGTGTCTATTTTTGTGCCCATACCATACTGTCTTGATGATGACAGCTTTGTAGTAGAGGCTAAAGTCTGGGATGGTGATACCCCCCGTTTTGGTTTTATTTTTCAATATTACTTTGGCTATTCAGGGTCTTTTGTGGTTCCAAACAAATTTTAGGATAGTTTGTTCTAGTTTTGAGAAGTATGCTGGTGCAGTTTTGATTGGGATTGCATTGAATGTGTAGACTGCTTTGAGTAGTAATGACATTTTAACTACATTTTTTTTCCAATCCATGAGAATGGAATGTTTTTCCATTTCTTTGTGTCTTCTTCAATTTCCTTCATAAGTTTTCTATAGTTTTCATCCTACAGATCTCTTGTATCCTTGGTTAGGTTTATTCCTATGTATTTTATGGTTTCTTGTGCAATTGTGAATGGGATCAGTTTCTTGATTTCTCTTTCTGTTGCTTCATTATTGGTGTATAAAAACGCAAATGATTTCTGTATGTTGATTTTGTACCCTGCAACTTTGCTGAATTCTTGGATCAGTTCTAGTAGACTTCTGGTGGAGTCTGCTGGGTTTTCTATGTAGATTATCATGTCATCTGCAAAGAGTGTAAGTTTGACTTCTTCTTTGCCAATTCTAATGCCTTTTGTTTCCTTTTGTTGTCTGATGGCTGATGCTAGGACTTCCAGCACTACGTTGAACAACAGTGATGAGCATGGACATCCCTGTCATGTTCCTGATCTAAGGGGGAAAGCTCTCAGTTTTTCCCCATTGAGGATGATGTTAGCTGAAGGCTTCTCATAGATGGCTTTTATGATGTTTAAGTAAGTTCCTTCTATCCCGACTTTCTCTAGGGTCTTTATTAAGAAGGGATGCAGTATTTTGTCAAATGCTTTTTCTGCATTAATTGACAGGATCATGATTTTTATGTTTTCTTTTGTTGATGTAATGTATCACATTGATTGATTTGCAAATATTGAACCAGCCCTGTAACCCAGGAATGAATCCCACTTGATCTTGGTGGATAATTCCTTTTATGTGCTGTTGATTTCGATTTGCAAGTATCTTGTTGAGGATTTTTGCATCTGTATTCATCAAGGATATTGGCCTGTAGTTCTTTTTTGCTGAGTCTCTGTCTGGCTTGGGAATCAGAGTGATGCTGGCTTCATAAAATGAGTCCGGAAGTTTCCCTTCGATTTCTATTTTTTTTTAATAGTTTGAGAACAATGGGTATTAATTCTGTTTGAAATGTCTGGTAGAATTCCCCAGGGAAGATATCTGGCCCGGGGCTCTTATTTGTTGGGAGATTTTTGATAACTGATTCG